TTTGCATGGCACTGTACAGGAAGGTCAGGTGTACACATGCTTGGCCATAGTGAGATTTGTATTTCTCATTAGAGTAATGCTGAAAGTTAATAATGCCTTTTCTGTATGAGGACAAAACATTTGCTATGTAGCTGAGAGACTCAATGCTCAAGTGTGTTATATATTATGAGTTTGACTAAAGTGTTACAAGCCTCCGTCAAGGTCTGGGATGGAGCTGTTGAGTGAGGTTGTCCCTCTCGCTGTCCTCTGCTGGGCATCAGGGTTACGTTGCTTTTGGGATGTCTGGATCTCCCCTGGCCTCAATCAGTGGTACTGGTGGGGACCATTGCACACCATCTCTGTGCTCTGCCCCTGTAGCCGCTGGGCCCTGTGTCTGTATCTGTACCTGCTGCCACTCAGCTTGGTCAGGAGGATGACGGTGCTGACAATGAACAATGTCATCACAGCAGCCAGCACAGCGATGGTGATCATGCACTGACCTACCAGTCCTCTCCCATGAGGGGCCATGGTCGGGCATGTCACTATTCAGGACACTGACACTTCCTGAAATGGAAGATTTTGACATCCCTTCTGTGGAGGAGTTGATGGCAGTGGTAGGGTAGGGGGTTGGATGCAGGGCTGATGGGATGGGTGTTTGTTTACCTCTCACAGTGGTGTGGGAGATCTCAGTCCCATGGTCCGAGGTTTCAGTTCTCATTGTTTGCTGGGTAACGGAGACTTCTGTTGTGTTTTCTGGCTGGTCTTTGGTGAGGGCTACAAGTGTAGTTGTTTTATGTGGTAGCTCGGACAGGTTTGACTCCTGGGGTCCATGGGTTGCTTCCTCCCTGTGGCTAGGTAGACGTCTTGAGACAGCCTTGCTTGACAGAAGCAGCAGTAAAATAAGAGCTGGACATCTCCCGGGCCTTGGGGCAAACATATTGGAAATTGTAAAGTGAAACGACAACAGCAAATATTGAAAGATTGAGTTGTACAACTGTTTCCTTGCACATAGACATTAATCACAAGCACCAAACTTTAAGAGGCATAAATGTGCCCAATTCAATCCTTCCTGTTATGAGACAGAAAGTGAGAAACGTATTCTGTATATTGTGATGCATTACAGAACACTGCACTGCCAGCACTGTCAAGCACAATTACCCAATACAGTATGCATTTGCTTCATATTTAAGATCATGTGTTGCTCATCAACATTACATCACTTCAGCCTCTGTAAAGAGAGATCCATTTCCTTTACAAATAATATCAGTGACTGACAATCATCTGATACAACCATATGTCAATCTACCCCATCAGTGATGTTGCAACGTTCCCTCAGCATTTCAGACAAAAACAAAGAAATAAAGTGGAGACTGTAGTAACTGTATAGCAGCTCACACTACTGATCATCCCCACTGCTATAATACTTACCCAAATGCTGGGGGAGAAGTCGTTTTGTGGTATATTGACCCCTCAACAAGCGGATTGTTCCTCGTCAAGCAAGAAACGAGACATTGGCTGATCTGTGAGGAATAAAGGAAGCATACCACATTGACAAGTTTCAAACTGACAAATGAGGAATGGGGTATGGTTGCATACATAGGTTTCAGACAATGAAAGCAATAATCTCCTGATAAAGTATAACAAGTCTGTGAGAGAAAACACTAAATACCTTCACATATCTCAGATATTGCTTGTTTGAAGATGGCCAAGTCATGTTTGCTTTTTGCCGAGACTTCTGCATCACTCATGAACTTGACACCAGCAGACAATTTTATTTTTAATTTCTTTATTAATTTTTCTGATAGTCAATGAGTTGTTGACACTTGAAAAATTAACAAAATTAACAAAAATGCAGAACAGACCTCCACAAGAGGCTGAATTCTTGTTTGTTTTTCTTCTGTAATTCATTTCTCTCTTTTTGTATTCATAATACCTGTGATAGAATGGAGGTTCTGTCATGATGCATTATGACAAGGGCAGGGAATGCAGACAAGAGGAAACATTTCAAACCCACCATAACCTCCTCCCAAACAAACCTCTTCAGCTCAAAACAAACAAAACAAATGAAAATGAAAAGTACAAAGAAAAAGAAAATTACATGGTCATGTTATTTACAAAACTTTAAATCATTTTCTAGGCCTTTATTTCAAACATCTACATATTTCTCCAACCTACAGTGTCCCTTTGAATCGCTATTCACTAATATTCCAAACATCACAGCTCTCGCTGCCTTGAGTGGTTCAAGGAGGCTCAGGATAAGCACTGATGTACATACAGGACACAAAGCCCAAGACAACCTCCCCTTGCCCTGACTGATCCATATCATATCTCTACAGCACAGTAGAACACCTTGGAGTCATTCTCAACCCCAATAAAATATTCCAGAACACCAGACGGTGCATATTTAGTGTCCAATTGCATCTATGGATATAATCTTAGATCCTGGGATTCCAAGATGTATTGATGAAAACGTACCTTTCTCAATGCTTTCTATGCCTTTCTATCCACTCAGGCAGCCCATACACTACCTATCCTGCTAAATAACTCACACCATTCTCAAACCCACAGTCATCCATAAGCACTTCCTGTGCACACTTCCTATGGCACTTTCTGATCTATTCAGTGGTAAAAAACTTTAAAGGCTAACAAACTCTGAACCTTAACCCCTCTCTGGAAAATGAGCATAACAAAAATAGCATGACAACAGAAATATTATCGCGGTTGGCAAACCATCAGATATTCAGTTAATCCAAATGACTCCTTGTTTCTCTGATTCTCTAGTGACAGATTATTTAAGGGTAGCTATTTAGTGGGTTATCTGCAATGGGAGAGCCGGAGAAGGACGCAAGGCTAAAACATACAGTATATAAATTACTAGCATTATCATCACACCATCCAATTCTGTTATCATAGGTCAGAACCTTGGTCACAACCTACGGTGAATCCATTTAATATCCAAAATCCCTCTCACATTTCCTATCTGGCAAAACAAAAACAATAAAAGGTGCATCCTCTACAACTCCAACAAGGCCAAAGTCATACGAGGCACATATTCGCACATCCTGAAAGCCTTGCCTCTCCATGTTACATCTTGTCGACCGTTGTCAACCAACAGAGGTCAAAGCAGGATCAAATTGTTTTCGTTTCAGACTCACCCGCCACTCACACTCTGGTTGGCTGTATGGATATGGGCCAATGAGGTGGTGAATAGTGAGCATCCTGGCACATGGACCCTGAACACAAGGGCATGGTTCAACATTGGGGTTTACGCCTGCACAAACTACACACAAACACCTCAGAGGCAGAACAAGGCTGCTAAAAGCCTGTGGAAATGTTAACCAGCGACATAACCCACAATTCCGTTGGTCCTTCTCTGGGCAGCACACAGGTCATTGCCACAAGAACCCGTACAAGAGAAGCACCCTAGGTGACTGCATGTCATGAGTCCAGGCTCTGTCGTAGCCGGCCGCGACCGGGAGACCCATGGGGCGGCGCACAATTGGCCCAGCGTCGTCCAGGGTAGGGAGGGGAGGGAATGGCCGGCAGGGATGTAGCTCAGTTGGTAGAGCATGGTGTTTGCAACGCCAGGGTTGTGGGTTCGATTCCCACGGGGGGCCAGTATGAAAAATATAAAATTATGTATGCACTAACTGTAAGTGGCTCTGGATAAGAGCGTCTGCTAAATGACTAAAATGTAAATGTAAATGAGTCAGTAGCACTGTGACTTACAGTGCAGAGCTTACAGTACATACATACCATTTGTGTCACAGGGCCAGATGGGGGGGACATACTGACAAACAAACATAGTGGCAAACTATGACACATTTCTGTTTCATAAGACTGTAACGCTAACAATGTTTATCGCAGTGGTCACCTAAACGATTCAAATGATTTTTGTATTGGGGCATGTGCATTGTAAACTCCAAACAAGAAAACAGTTTAAGGTGAAATCTAAGGCTACGAGAAGTTAAGGTGACATCTAACCTGTCATTTTCATCTACAAAGCTAAGGGGAGTTCACTAATACCCTTTCTGTTCCTGGGACACAAAATAGATGGAGATGATCAAAACATTGTTCAAGTCGTTTACTGTGATAGATGCATACATAAGTTATAGAAGGTATCAAACTTTATGAAAGGACTTTGTTTGCTGCTTGCTTAGTAAGACAAGCTAGAGTTAGAGATCAAAGATAGAGAATGAACCTCGAGTAGAATATCTATTTTAAGTATTAACTCTGGTCAGGAGATGTTAGCAAGTGTCCAGACAGTGGTCCCATTATGATGTAGTCCACTAAGAGGGGAGGAGAGATCTGAGTTTCAGAAAAAAGAGAATGAGAACCTTCACATAACACTTACAGCATGAATCATACCTCAGTACTTCTGTTGTCTTTGAAATCTAAAAGCTCTACGATACATCAGGATCAATTTCTCTGAGTGTTTGGTGGTCAATCAGTCAAGTTTCTCATTGATGTCTTTTACAGTATTTGATTGATTATTGAAATCTTCCCCCCCCTCTCCTTGCATTACCAGCCTATTGCATTGTCCCATATAGTTCGCATTTTGAATCTTCCCGGGAAAAACAAAGAAAACGAAAGAAAAAAATACTGTCAAGGAGGTGTATAAACAAAACTCCTTTAAAATTTGGCAAGATAAGAAGTTGGGGTATCGGGGAGAGAAAATACTGATACCTACATATAAAACATTTGGGTTTACCCAAATAGGAACTGTTCACATTGGAATTTTCTTGGTCACAATCTTAAAAAGGAATATGTAAGATTTTTTCATACAACAAACAAAACTAAACTGCCACTTATTAAAAGGAATGGAATGGTTTGCCATATTTCATCTGTGTTAACTGAGGGTTAGGGCTGGCTAAGAAAAAAGTTCATCTCGGAATGTTGCTTGGGATCGTTACTAGGCAGGTTTCAGGCGGAACTCTGTCATCTAGATTGCCAGCGACTGGTCCCGCCCACCTCCCAGCCAATGGTTCGTCCTGAATTGTGGCAGGGTGGGGGGAGGATCCTTAAATGGCGATCTTGGACATCTGCTCCTCGAGTTGGATGATTCGCTTCTCCTGACTGCTGACCAAGTCCTTGAGGGATTTGATTTCTTTCAAGACCTCTTCCAGCTTGGCTTCGTTTTTCTGAGGAATACAGAGACAGGAGCAAGACATAAGATACCCTTTCTGGAGATGTTTGTGCCAGTGTCCCCCCCCCCCTCCCCGGTTAGGTTTGGTACATTGTTATCTAAAAACAAACATACTCTGTTTATATCTACTGAATTTCCCCAGATCCTTTTTAATCCTCACATCATCGAGTCTATCCCTGCTGGCTGCTCTGCAGGCAGGCTACACTGCAAGCAGGGCTCTAGTACCCTGTGGCACCCTGGGGGTTAACATGGCGCGCCTGCCCAGACTGCTATGATTACAGGACCAGAGCTGCAGATAGAAGCTGAGGCCAGGGCTGGGTCCCATGCGGGCGGCTGTGTTGTGGACGAGGTAGGGCAGGACACCCAGAGCACTCTGCCTATGGGCAGGTGGGTGGGGGGACTTCTAGTAACCACCTTCTAAAACACACCCTGCCAACATAAACTCTACGGGCTCTATTTTCGTCTGGCGTTATGGCAGCGCTAGTGTCAAACGCACGTTAGTTAGCATTTCCGTCATGTAAAAACTGGCGCATTGGCATTTTCCAGCCCTAACGCCAGGTTCGGCAATTTACCTGTCTCCGATCAGCTCGCTTGCGCTCAGATGGATGGGGTGGAAATAGTTTAGGTGTCCTTAAAAACATGATCCAAAGTGCTAATTTCAGGCAGCGTTGATAGGGATATTTAAGACTAACCAAAAGCTGGTTTTAGCGGCAACGCAGTTGGTTATGGCATTAATATCTACAGCGGAAATGCATTCTATCCAGCCATGACGCACACTGCCCATATGCGCATGGAACAAGAGTAGCCTAATGTGCTTTTGGTGCCTGTATTTTGTTTTATTTAATTATAAACCAAGCATAGCCTCACCCTCTCAATTAAGGCTTTTTTTTGTCTGCCCAATGCAATCGCCGAAGCAGTAAAGACTGTCGATAAAGGGTTTGGCTCCTGAGACCGCTTGGAAATAAATCTTAAATCACCAAAGCTTTTTTTTATTCTATGTATATATTTCCACATTGAAGCCACACAATTACTTAGAACAATGTGGACTACAAACAGGTTCAAGTTAAATTATTTAGCAAAGACGGGATAGATCTACATTGTTATTTTGTTTTAGTAAGCTGTATAACAGAATATTACGGACTAACATTGTAATTGGAGTTGATTCCAATGCAATACATAAAAGACCGTAAATACACAACTTGAAGCGACCACATATTTAGCCATGGAGCACGTTCTGATTGGCCAGTGAGGTGACAAGCCTCGACACACCCATAACTTGTTTATTCATCAAAACCCAGTCCTTTCGCGCCAACGCCAGCATCTGCGCCAATAATTGTGCTTGTGAAAATAGCAAAAAATATTTTAAACACACCCGGACCTATAGTGCTACCGCCCAGCGCTTAGATTGAGCATCGCATTAGGTTTGTTAAAATAGAGCCTTCCATGTTCCAAGGCCCTAGCTGCAATGTGCCGAGGCCAGGGCTGAACTAAAGGCCATTAAAGACTACGTTTCAGTGGTGAAGGACGGGGTAGGTGTGGTGATCATCAGACTAGTCCTGGGAAAGCACTGTAATCATTCACATGTAGATACATACTGTAGTGTTGGTATACTGATCCAGTCTGGTGTCAACTTTCCCTCAAATCACTAGTGGCACATTGTACATACAGAAGAATATCCTGGCATCTGGTAAGTAGTACTTTTGTGCATACAATTCAGTGAACAGAGAGAACGTACCAGTCTCTAGCATACAACCCAGGCAGTGTCCTCCCCAGATAGACAGAGACACAGACAGAGACAGACAGCAGTACTCACTATGGATGGAGTGGATGAGGCAGACTTGTTGGCTGGGCTTGTGTTCTCCGCATTCTTGCTCAGCTTGTTGTCCAGAATGTTCTTCTTGACCACCTTGAGGTCGCGGTTCTTGCCAGGGACGTAGCCGTTCTTCAGGGAAATGAGGATGGGCTCGCCGTTCTTCCCCTCGAACCAATCCTCCGCCTCAATGGCACAGTCTGGTCCTGCCGTGTCTGGGTACAGGTCGTCCTGGAACAGGTCAGACTGCAGGGAGAGAGAGAGAGGGGCATAGAGACAGCTGTTAGAAAACACTGGACCAAACACATTTAATAGAGCATAGCCTCAAAACAGAGTTTGAGTTAAACGTGGCATTGATTGTTGAAATCATTCATATATTGAATGTCTCTAGATCAGAATGAAGAAGCTCACCTTTCTTGGCACAGTCATGATGATAGGTTCACACTTCCTTTCGTGCAGTTTATAAAACCTGTCAACATAGAAGTACAAAGAAGCATATTACCCACAACATCACATAACAGACCTACTGTCTAATATCCTTTCACATACTGCAGCCCAACCCAATGCACTTCTACTTCCATGACACTGGCAATACTCTCAAGCAGCCTCAGTAAACATGGAGCTGTATAAAGGCATGATACATGATTCAGATTGGCAGGGCCTGAGGTAAACACAGATGAGCGAGCTCCCCTTCAACATGTGGTTCTGTGCTGCCTCCTGGTGGACATAGCTGGCCAATAGCTTCACATCACAAGTCATGTCTTCCTCATAGACGCTCATCATAGACCCAGCCAAGCACCAAAACACCTGGTTCAACTAATCAACTAGACCTCGCTGAATTGAATCAGGGGTGTGCCCATCAAAGGATAATAAATCAGATTAGCAGCCCTATTCAGATTAGTTGACCTTTAAACAGGTCAACATTCACAACGCCGCAGGGCCAGATGGATTACCAGGATGTGTTCTCTGAGCATGCGCTGACCAACTGGCAAGTGTCTTCACTGACATTTTCAACCTCTCCCTGTCTGAGTCTGTAATACCAACATGTTTCAAGCAGATCACCATAGTCCCTGAGCCCAAGAACACTAAGGTAACCTGCCTAAATTACTACCGACCCCATAGCACTCACATCTGTAGCCATGAAGTGCTTTGAAAGGCTGGTCATGGCTCACATCAACACCATTATCCCAGAAACCCTAGTCCCACCTTAATTTGTATACCGCCCCAACAGATCCACAGATGTTGCAATCTCTATTGCGCTCCACACTACCCTTTCACACCTGGACAAAAGGAACACCTATGTGAGAATGCTATTCATTGACTACAGCTCAGCGTTCAACACCATAGTGCCCATCAAAGCTCATCACTAAACTAAGGACCCTGGGAAAAAACACCTCCTTCTGCAACTGGATGCTGGACTTCCTGACGGGCCGCCCCCAGGTGGTAAGGGTAGGTAACAACACATCCGCCATGCTGATCCTCAACACGGGGGCCCCTCAGGGGTGCGTGCTCAGTCCCCTCCTGTACTCCCTGTTCACCCATGACTGCATGGCCAGGCACGACTCCAAAACCATCGTTAAGTTTGCCGATGACACAACAGTGGTAGGCCTGATCACAGACAACGACGAGACAGCCTATAGGGAGGTGGTCAGAGACCTGGCCGTGTGGTGCCTCAATGTGATCAAGACAAAGGAGATGATTGTGGACTACAGGAAAAAGAAGAGGACCGAGCACGCCCCCATTCTCATCGATGGGGCTGTAGTGGAGCAGGTTGAGAGCTTCAAGTTCCTTGGTGTCCACATCACCAACAAACTAACATGATCCAAGCACACCAAGACAGTCGTGAAGAGGGCACGACAAAACCTATTCCCCCTAAGGAGACTGAAAAGATTTGGCATGAGTCCTCAGATCCTCAAAAGGTTCTAAAGCTGAACCATCGAGAGCATCCTGACTGGTTGCATCCCTGCCTGGTATGGCAACTGCTCGGCCTCCGACCGCAAGGCACTACAGAGGGTAGTGCATACGGCCCAGTACGTCACTGGGGCCTAGCTTCCTGCCATGAAGTGTCATCAGATACAACACACTGGAGTAAAACCACAGCGCTGCTCTGACTGTGGTAAAGCATTCACCTTAAGCAGCCTAGTGCAACATTGGTGCGTGCACACTGGAGAGAAGTCCTACCACTACCTTGAATGTTGAAATAACTTTTCAGTATTAAAAGAACACCAGCTTGTTCACTCTGGAGAAAAGCTTTACCGTTGCTCGGACTGCAAGAAGGACTTTGCACAACTTTGTAACTATGGTCCCCTGTAGCGCAGTTGGTAGAGCATGGTGCTTGCAATGCCAGGGTTGTGGGTTCGTTTCCCACGGGGGGCCAGTATGAAAATGTATGCACTCACTAACTGTAAGTCACTCTGGATAAGAGCGTCTGCTAAATTACTAAATTGTAAATGTAAATGTAATCCAGGTCCTCTACACCAGGCGGTGTCAGAGGAAGGCCCTAAAAATTGTCAAAGACTCCAGCCACCCTAGTCATAGACTGTTCTCTCTGCTACCTCACGGTAAGCGGTACCGGAGTGCCAAGTCTAGATCCAAAAGACTTCTCAACAGCTTCTACCCCCAAGCCATAAGACTCCTGAACAGCTAATAAATTGGCTACCCAGACTATTTGCATTGTGTGTGTCCCCCCTCGTTTATTATCTATGCATAGTCACTTTAATAACTCTACCTACATGTACATATTACCTCGACTAACCGGTGCCCCCGCACATTGACTCGGTACCCCCTTTATATAGCCTCGCTACTGTTATTTTACTGCTGCTCTTTAATTATGTTACTTTTATTTCTTATTATTTAGTTATTTAATGTATTTTTGGTATTTTCTTGGTATTCTTTCTTAAAATTGCATTGTTGGTTAAGGGCTTGTAAGTAAGCATTTCACTGTAAGGTTTCACCTGTTGTATTCAGCACATGTGACAAATAAAATTTGATTTGAAAATGGCTGATCCGTTTCCTTATCCAGCGAGTCGTACCTGGCGATCTCACACTTGTTGACATCCAGGCCTCTCTTGGGCATATATCCCATTCCCCTCTGGGGCTCCTTGGTGGTGAAGGTGTTGAGGTAGTGGACAAATGGGGCCTCGTCCGTGATCTCAAAGTAGCGGATGCTGCTGTCACCCTACATACCACAGAAACAAGATAAGCCTTTTAGTGTTTGGAACAGTACAACGTTTTAGTAATGTCTTCATGGATAACACTGTATCATGCCTAACTTAATGGATCAGAGTAAGACTTGTTGTAAGTCACATGCACAACAGATCAAATAGATGTGTGTGTAATATTTGCCAGAAAAACTCCACTCACCTTACCACACAGGTAAACCACATTGGTGTCTGGGTCATAGAAGGGCAAGAGGACTCCATTGCTGGTGTCCATTTCATGCACTGAGATTGCCTCATCCATGGCTTGCTGTAAATTAAACATTGACATAAAGTAGTGCAATAACATCTTTATCAGGGCTGCGTCCCAAATGCCACCATATTCCCTATATAGTGCACTACTTTTGACCAGAGCCCTATGGGCCCTGATCAAAAGTAGTCCACTATAAAGGGAATACGGTGTCATTTGGGACTAAGCCCAGGAGTAGTGATGGTGAGGATGGGGTGACCCACCGGATTCCATAGGGCTAGCTGTCTCTCACTCATGCGGCTGAAGCCTGTGGTGAACACATTCCCGTCCGAAAGGAAGATGGCCCTCATGGGCCGTGCCCCCTCGTGTGCCTTTTCCTTCTCCTGTGACGCAGAGGGTCAACAGTCAACATACTGTGGGTACATCCTAAATCATCTCAAAGAGATCCCTTTCAAATTAGGAAAGAGTAGTCTCCCTAGGCAGATGGGTTGCCTCCCACAACGTTTCCAATGTTCCAGCATACGTCAGCACGTACTGTAATAAAACGTCAATTTGGCATAGAGGAACTACGTCACCGTACCCACATCCCGGCACAAAATAGTAGCTAGCGAGATACAGATTACGGAGGTTATTTTTAATGAGTGCATTTTGAAAGTGGCTAGTTTGCATCTACTACCTTCACTAAAACAATTGCAAAGGTTTTGCCTGCAAACGTCGAATCACGACGTTCTGGCATGACCCACCCCATATCTTTTTTTTTTTTAAGTTACCAAAAAGAGTCTGTCATATACAGTACCAGTCAAAAGTTTGGACACACCTACTAATTCAAGGGTTTTTCATTATTTTTTTACCATTTTCTACATTGTAGAATAATAGTGAAGACATCAAAACTATGAAATAACACATATGGAATCATGTAGTAACCAGAAAAGTGTTAAACAAATCAAAATATTTTAGATTCTTCAAAGTAGCCACCCTTTGCATTGATGAAAGCTTTGCACACTCTTGGATTTATCTCAACCAGCCTCACCTGGAATGCTTTTCCAACAGTCTTGAAGGAGTTCCCCCATATGCTGAGCACTTGTTGGCTTCTTTTCCTTCATGCCGCGGTCCAACTCATCCCAAACCATCTCAATTGGGTTGAGGTCGGGGGATTGTGGAGGCCAGGTCATCTGATGCAGCACTCCATCACTCTCCTTCTTGGTCAAATAGCCCTTACGTAGCCTGGAGGTGTGTTAGGTTATTGTCCTGTTGAAAAACAAATGATAGTTCCACTAAGCCCAAACCAGATGGGATGGCGTATCGCTGCAGAACGTTATGGTGGCCATGCTGGTTAAGTGTGCCTTGAATTCTAAATAAACCACAGTGTCACCAGCAAAGCAACCCCACACCATCACACCTCCTCCTCCATGCTTCACTGTGGGAACTACACATGCGGAGATCACCCATTCACCTACTCTGTGTCTCACAAAGACACGGCGGTTGGAACCAAAAATCTCAAATTAGGACTCATCAGACCAAAGGACAGATTTCTAGCGTTCTAATGTCCATTGCTCATGTTGCTTCGCCCAAGCAAGTCTCTTCTTATTATTGGTGTCCTTTAGTAGTGATTTCTTTGCAGCAATTCAACCATGAAGGCCTGATTCACGCAGTCTCCTCTGAACAGTTGATGTTGAGATGTGTCGGTTACTTGAACTCTGTGAAGCATTTATTTGGGCTGCAATTTGAGGTACAGTTAACTAATGACCTTATCCTCTGCAGCAGAGGTAACTCTGGGTCTTCCTTTCCTGTGGCAGTCCTCATGAGAGACAGTTTCATCAGTGCTTGATGGTTTTTGCGACTGCACTTGAAGAAACTTTAAAAAAGTTGACATTTTCCGGATTGACTGACCTTCATGTCTTAAAGTAATGATGGACTGTCACCCCTACCTTGTCACAACACAACTGATTGGCTCAAACGCATTAAGAAGGAAAGATATTTCACAAATTCACTTGTAAGAAGGCACACCTGTTAATTGAAATGAAGCTGGTTGAGAGAATGCCAAGAGTGTGCAAAGCTGTCATCAAGGCAAAGGGTGGCTACTTTGAAGATTCTCAAATATAACATATATTCTGATTTGTTTAACACTTTTTTGGTTACTACATGATTCCATATGTGTTATTTCATAGTTTGGATGTCGTCACTATTATTCTACAATGTAGAAAATAGTAAAAATAAAGAAAAACCCTTGAATGAGTAGGTGTGTCCAAACTTTTGACTGGTACTGTATACCAGACCCTAGTCACTGCTGTTGCCTAGGGCCAGGTTTACGAAACTAGGAAATATACCAGACCCTAGTCACTGCTGTTGCCTAGGGCCAGGTTTACGAAACTAGGAAATATACCAGACCCTAGTCACTGCTGTTGCCTAGGGCCAGGTTTACGAAACTAGGAAAATAGTAACAAATTGTTGAGATGAGTAGAAACATTAGTAAGGTTGCAAAATTCCAGTAACTTTCCCAAAATGTCCAGGTTTAATCAGAATTCCCAGTTGGAGGATTCCCAGATTTCATAGTTATTCCTTCCTGATTCCAGGAATATTCCAACTGGGATTTCTGGAAACTTTGGGAATTTGACCACCCTATAGAGCAGGTTTGTTAGTGAAAAGTCCTGTCAGTGGTAGAGTTGAATTCCGGTGACTGGTATCCCGGGACTTCCCGACCAAGCTCCTTCCAGTTTCCCAAGAAAAATTATCGCGGTCCCGTGGGCCAATAATATTAAATGTTTATGCCGCACTAATGCAAAAACACAAAATATGCACTTGCGAATACCTGCATGAACCGGACATATCAAGTCTCTGGCTTCATACATTAAATAATTGACATTAAAAGGTAAAACAATTCTATATCATTTATTTAAAAACATTTTCCAAGAAATTATCAAATAGTTTGACAACCCTGTTTGTAAGCTTACAAAATTATATCAAACTTAACTGTTTATCTTTGCCAGCGATGAAGACATGGATGTCTCATGGTATGGTATACAAAATGGGTAAACTTTGAACACCTCTATCTCTTAAATGTTTTGGCATTCAAGTCTAAAGTCACTCTGACCACTTCTTCCATGGGCAAACATGTATGGAAAGTTTTGTTTAAATCAAAAGGGATGCTGTCAAAAAGTGATTGAATTCAAATGTATTTACCCAATAACAAAAGCGAGTGAACAAATCTTTACTAATCAGATTCGTGGGATTTGATCAATCGTGGCGCTATACATGGTGCTGAATCTCCACTACTAGACCTATTCGCTTGTTTGTTTAGCGGAGAATCGGATATGTTCCCTGTGACAAAGTCACCACAATAAGCTGGTTATCATAAAGTAAAAACAGCCACAATCTTCTGAAATTCCCCTGATAGCCAAGTGCAAGGGGAGTCTACATTTTTTGTTTTGTTGTACCTTCGACTGAAAGATGTCAGCCAGGTCAGTCAACGGTACACTAAAACAAAAAATGTAGTTTTCACTAGGCTGTAGGGTAATAACCTCATAATATTTTAGGTCTACATTTAAACTAGGCTACAACAACGAAATAGTATGGTGACTGACAGAACTTTGAGTTGATTAAATTGTGACAAATAGACCTACAACAAGAAACCATTAAGATTCCAGTCCATATGTCTCCATTTACAGCGGTATAATCATTTTCGCTGGTATTATATGCTTTTAAATAGTATTTCCTTTTTGTATGGGAATACCGGGATTGTACCAGGACGGTTCCAATTTTCTCAGGAAGGATTTTTTTTGGGGAAAATATTAAATCCTAGTCAGTGGTGCTCACCCCTACAATCTCTTCCTTGCGGGGGTCGATGACGCGGATGGTCTTGTCCTTGCAGGCGGTGCAGATGAGGCTGCCGTTGCGGTTCCAGCAAGCGCTGAAGATGACGTCAGGGTGCATATCCTCCAGCTGGATCATGGCCTCGCCCGTCCCCACGTTCCAGATGATGATCAGGTTGTCACAGCCTGAGGAGAGAGGAACACACATTTTATATAATATACATACATAAAACAGCCTGAAGAGAGATGAATACACATTAATATACACATACTACACAAAAGGAAAAGGACACAATGCCAAATAGCACTGATATGGCAAGATAATACCATCTACAACTCATAGCTCATTCTGGTTTGGTTTTGACATGGAGGGTAAAAACTGAGTAAAGCGGTATTTTTAAAGTCAATGAGGACAGATGTGCGGTGATCAGGAATCTCAGTGTTTAGGGGAAATGAAGCCTTGGGGAGTGATGCAAACTCACAGCAGGTTGCCACTTCTCTCAGCGCGAGGAGAAGATTAGAGAGGGGGGGGGGCAGAGAGAGTGAGAGGGCTGATGACGACACAGATTACAACCACAAAAGCAGAGGCACAGAGGCTGAACCAGAACTATAATGATAACATTTAAAATGTCCACCTCACACAGGCCATCCAGTCACGACATGTTATGAGAAGGGTTTTAATGGACAGGAGGACGCCACTCACCAGCACTGAGCAAGACGTTGCGTGCCGTGGGGTGCCATGTGATGATGCCAACCCTTTTGGAGTGTCCCTCCAGGACCACCACGGGCTCAGACATGCCGGTAACCAGCCCGTTCTCAGGGATCTGCCACACCTGCAGACAGACACGGGTCAAAGGTCAGGACCAGGACATAGCTAGGGTCACTATAGGATCATATACTGAGGTCAGACATACAGCTGCAGTTTCCCTGCTGTTAGCCTGTGTCATAAAGCTGTAAACTGCTGGACCACAGAAAGCAGTACATTCACATGAACTAACTTGTCAAAAACCCTTTTAGATTGACATCACTGTGACAGGAAGTCAGTAGATCACACTTACAACCAAGAGACTGAAGGGGGCAACAGAGACTCAAGGTTACTCATTATACTGATGTTTTCAAATCAGAGTGTATTGGTCATGTACACAGATTTGCAGATGATGTTGCTGGTGCAATGAAATGCTTGTGTTTCTAGCTCCAACAATGCAGTAATAATACCTAGCAAAACAAAACAATAAGCAAATATAATGGTGTGTGTTGATAGTATATTAATAGAAAAGGTGTGTATAGCAGTAGTTATATAGGATGAGCCATGACTACAACACAGTATATACATATAAAGTGGGTAAAACATTACTAATGTGACCAGTGTTCAATGACTCGATGTACATAGGGCAGCAGTCTCTAAGGTGCAGGGTAGAGTACCGGGTGATAGCCGGCTAGAACAGTGATTAAGGTTCAGGGCAGGGTACTGGGTGGAGGCCGGCTAGTGGTGACTGTTTAACAGTCTGATGGCCTGGAGATAGAAGCTGTTTCTCCGTCTCTTGGTCTTGGTCCCGGTCCCAGTTTTAATGTACATGTACCGTCTCCTCCTTCTAGATGGTAGCGGGGTGAAAAGGCCATGGCTTGGGTGGCAGAGGTCCTTGATGATCTTCCTGGCCTTCCCGTGACACTTGTGCTGTAGATGTCCTGGAGGGCAGGCAGTGTGCCCCCGATGATGCATTGGGCTGACTGCACCATCTTCTGGAGAGCCCTGCGGTTGCGGACGATGAAATTGCCGTACCAGGTGCTGATACAGCCTGATAGGATGTTCTCAGTTGTGCATCTGTAGAAGTTTGTGAGGGTCTTAGGGGCCAAGCCGAATTTCTTCGGCCTTCTGAGGTTGAAGAGGCGCTGTTGCACTTTCTTCACCACACTGTCTGTGTGAAGGGACCATTTCAGGTCTGGTGATGTACACGGCGAGGAATATGAGGCTTTTGACCCGCTCCACTGCAGCCTCGTCGATGTGGATGGGGTGTGCTCTCTGTAGTCCACAATCAACTCCTTCGTTTTGTTGACGTTGAGGGAGATGGATAAGGTGGAGATGATATGGTCCTTAACTAGCCTCTCAAAGCACTTCATGATGACAAGAGTGAGTGATACGGGGCTACAATCATTTAGTTGAGTTACCTTTCATGTACATAATGAGTAGCTTACTTCCTCGTGAGAATACAGCCAGTAGAGACTATTCAAATATGGTACACATTGCAGAATCAGAAAATGTATCTACGGAAATGAAGACTGAAGTTTAAAGTCATTATCTCTAGGAACTCTGACAGCAGTAGACTGTGTGACAGTATGTAGTCTCACCGCTGCACTACCACACTATCAGAGCTCCTACTCTAGCTGCAACAGGTAACTATGGATACAGCAGTCTCAACAGAAATAACACGGTTCATCACGACACTTAATCTAAAGTCAACATTACTTTTAGAGAACCTTTTCAGTGTATTTCTAGCAGCAATCTCAAATGTTCTGAAGAGAGAGGAACCTTTGACGGTTCAACTTCTGTAAATATACTTGGAACACTGCATCGATTCACAGATAGAGGACTTTTTCTGCCGTTCATAGAGTTGCATGGGGAAGCCAATGCCTACAGGTTGGGAAGTGATAGAAGCATACTTAAGAACATAGCACACACTCTGATCAATGCTATTCACAGCCCAAATAAGGACATAGAGTATAGCACCAGCCTCAAACAAGTTAGTGACCTCATCCCTATAAAAAGGCTAAATCATTCCCCACGTCTCTCTCTGGGTCTAATCTAATCCAGACTAGAGTGCAAGCCCTGCCTGCACGTATCCTTAGCTACCCTATCACCATCTGATTCTGCACCCATCCCTACGCTATTAGTGTCTGGCCTTTCACAATCAAAACCAGTCATCTGTCAGTTGGCATCGGGGAGAGGGTGTGTGTATACTGTACATATGCAGGTAAAGTGTAAACATACATTATTGTACTACTCCACTGAGAGGGACAGTCTCTGCTGAGGCGTGAGGAAAGGGGTGACTGTAAATCTTACCATGACCGTGCAATCCTCCGAGCCGCTGGCGATAACCTGGTCATTGTGGGGGCACCAGTCGATGTCCAGCACAGGGCCCGTGTGACCACACACTGTGGGGTAGGCCTTGTCAATGCGGCCCGACTGTGGAGAAACAGAGGCATGAGATTTAACACCAGAGACACTGAGGTGTATGACCTTAGGTGATCTGAGGAGAAACACACAAACACACAGAGAGAAAAATAACATTCACACTCTCTCTTAGAAAATGAGTTTCCAGTCATTCAATCCTTGGGTAGAATCATTGTTAGACAAATACTGTGGCGTAGCCTGAGAAGAAGGGGGGCAAGGGAGACTGAATTCTCAACCTCCACAAAAGAGCGAGGGAGAATGAGAGATGGCGCAGATGTGAAGAAACCATGCATAGCCCTGTGACTGTTAATGTGTTGCTGTGTGAAGGAGGCCAGTGACTGAGGCGAGGGCAAAAGGAAGACCCCTCCAACCAAAGAGGAGGAGCTCTATCAGGTAAAAACCACACATTTTGGCTAGGGCTGGGCATTACTAGGGACCTCACGATACGATCACGGTACTTAGGTGCCGATACGATATGTATTGTGATTCTCACGGTTGCTGTCCGCGGTTCTGAAACAATCTTCAGTGAGCCGTAGAATTGGCGCCTTTCCCTATGTTGCTATGTGCATAATAGCATATTGGGATTGAGAACAATGCAGCGGAGGCAGCGACAAGGAAACAGCCCTTACCTTAGCCTAATTGTATTAGAAAATTGAGGAGCGAGGAAACCCCAATTTAATTAGGTCTAGAATCAATAGCTTAACTGTTAAATGTACCTGGCTTTAGAAATCACCATATCTACAGAAATAAGACCGATCATTGTTCTGTTGCCTGTTTGAGTGTTTGTTTAATAGCCTACTGATTCCGTGAGCACCAAGCCTCATGCAACGGCCAAATGTCGGATGAAGCAATTTCGGCCATTTTTAATCTTTGCTATGCAGTAATAAAGGCTTTTTATTTATTTATTTTTTAGAACAGACAGGTATTACTTATACATTTATTTAGTGTTGTTTACACTGTTCCAAACAGGCAGAACAATTATATTGTAATCTAACAGCACCTGTTTGTCACATAATATGCACGCAGCTCTCGCTCCTATACCCTCCTTTTTCTTGATCTTCTTATTGTTATTATTACAATTACTTATTATTATGATGATCGTAATAATGTCGTTATCATTAGTAGGCTTTCTATAGTAGCCTTGTATAGCCACCATCAAGCTGTAGGCCTAAGAGCGCATCCTGTTTAGTCTTAATACCGTAACTTAATTAGGCCTATACTTCAATATATAGGCTACTGTATCAAATCAAACATTAATTCATTCATGCCATCACACAGCATACGAGACATTCATGCTTTGAAATGCAAATCAAGCATTTTATTTTTAAAATTAACAAAGGGAGCTTTGAATAATTAGCCTAAACAATAAATAAACCGCAATTCACGAATGCATGCAACTGTTTTTAGTCAGCTGTAATAAAGACTTTATAGATATTTTTTTCCCGTTAGAACAGACTGGTGCATTTATTTATTTAGTGTTGTTTACATTGTTCCAAATGGTCAGAATAAAGTATAATATTGTAATCGAACAGCAACTGTTTGGCAGACATAACTCACGCAACGCTTGCTCATATACACTCCTTTTTCTTGATCTCCAGTAGTTTCCACAATTAAATCAAAATGTATTCAACAGATCTGACTTCCCCTTTCCCTCCTGAGAAACCAGTAAACATTCACCCGTTATAGTTTCTTTTTCACGTCCTCTGTATCCATTTTGCTGTCGCCATTACTGTGTAACAGAACTTTTCAGTCAGAAACAAGTAAGAAACTAAATGGCTGAAATGATGTTGCCGCTTCAGCACTGACAGTGCAATAAACACTTGCTTTGCTGTGGTGCCTTTTGGCTGCAGTAGGGAGGAGCGAGACAATGTGCGCCAGTCACACAGGCACTCGCTGTCTTTTTTTTTTTTTTTTTACACAGTGTGACCATCGGGCTCTTTCTTGATTCATTTGTGTGTCTTAATTATTTAATTAAACAGTGTGCTTAAAGCATCAGACAAGCTCAGTGCATATGTAGTTGAGTTTATTCAAACACATAGGGTGTGTAGTCTATATCACATTTACATAATTATTCAGACCCTTTACTCAGTACTTTGTTGAAACACCTTTGGCAGCGATTATTGCCTCAAGTCTTCTTGGGTATGACGCTACAAGCTTTGCACACCTACATTTGGGGAGTTTCTCCCATTCTTCTCTGCAGATCCTCAAGCTCTGTCAGGTTGGATGGGGAGCGTCGCTGCACAGCTATTTTCAGGTCTCTCCAGAGATGCTCGATAGGGTTCAAGTCCGGGCTCTGGCCGGGCCATTCAGAGACCTGTCCCGAAGCCACTCCTGCATTGTCTTGGCTGTGTTCTTAGGGTCATTATCCTGTTGGAAGGTGAACCTTCGCCCCAGTCGGAGATCCTGAGCGCTCTGGAGCAGGTTTTCGTCAAGGATCTCTGTACTTTGCTCCGTTCAGCTTTCCCTCGATCCTGACTAGTCTCCCAGTCCCTGCCACTGAAAAACATCCCCACAGCATGACGCTGCCACCACCATGCTTCACAGTAGGGATGGTGCCAGGTTTCCTCCAGACGTGACACTTGGCATTCAGGCCAAAGAGTTCAATCTTGGTTTCATCAGACCACAGAATCTTGTTTCTCATGGTCTGAGAGTCCTTTAGGCAAACTCCAAGCGGGCTGTCGTGCCTTTTACTGAGGAGTGGCTTCTGTCTGGCCACTCAACCATAAAGGCCTGATTGGTGGAGTGCTACAGAGATTGTTGTCCTTCTGGAAGGTTCTCCCATCTCCACAGAGGAACTCTGGAGCTCTATCAGAGTGACCATCGGGTTCTTGGTCACCTCCCTGACCAAGGCCCTTCTCCCCAGATTGCCCAGTTTGGCAGGGCGGCCAGCTCTAGGAAGAGTCTTGGTGATTCCATACTTCTATTTAAGAATGATTGAGGCCACTGTGTTCTTGGGGACCTTCAATGCTGCAGAATTTTTTTTGCACCCTTCCCCAGATCTGTGCCTCGACACAATCCTGTCTCGGAGCTCTACAGACAATTCCTGCACTGTCAACTGTGGGACCTTATATAGACAGGTGTGTGTCTTTACAAATCATGTCCAATCAATTGAATTTACCACAGGTGGACTCCAATCAAGTTGTAGAAAGTTCAAGGACATTTTCAAGTCTCATAGCAAAGGTTCTGAATACTTATGCAAGTAAGGTATCTGTTTTTTATTTTAAACACATTTGCTAAAATGTCTAAAAACCTGTTTTCACCTTGTCATTACGGGGTATTGCGTGTAGATTGATGAGGACATTTCATTTAATCCATTTTAGAATAAGGCTGTAACGTAACAAAATGTGGAAAAAGTCAAGGGGTCTGAATACTTTCCGAAGGCACTGTATATGGAAAAAATAGTTTAAACATTTCAACCAATCGATTGGTCGAAAGAACAGGACGACTCTTGGTCGACCAATATTTTTTTTGAGTTGGGGACAGCCCTAAAATGAAGGCATGTTGTTGGTAATAACGTCCTCATAGACATGCCAGCAGATGCTTAGTTTTTGCTCTTTAAAATGAAACCCTGAGATAACCTTGAATCTGAGCCCCTTATATAACACCCTTATACAACAGGCCAGATGACCAGAAATAACTTTCCCAGCCGTCATACAACACACACACAAATGTAACACACGCACACAACAAAAGGAGCCAGACAAACAGAAGGCTTTCCCAGCCACCCAGCTGACTAAAATCAGTCTAGCCTGGGAGGGCGGGTTCTATCTTGACCTCTGACCCCAAGTGATTTGAGGATCAGGTGCTCTCCACAGTGTGAAGTCTGGGTAACGTGAGCTCTGAAAATGCTGTGGAGGTTAGGGTTGGATTTGGGAGACTGACACGCCCTTTTCCTTGCTCCCGTTTGTTGAATCCCCAGCTGGACCACCGCAGGGCCTGACAGAGATGATGTCACTGAGGCAGAGAGAGCCCTGCTGTAATGGCTGCAGCCCTATTTAAAGCATAATGGATTGCTTCATGAATATCACGCACTGCCCACAGCCATTCTAGCATTAGACTGGGCACCATGACAACAATGGTTTCAGAGGAGCTAAATATAAGTGCTACATATTCAGTCACGGGTAGAGAAGCGCTTTCCAGGTCTCTGTAGACATTAGAAAACAACAAACAGGGAATGTAAGAATTACATACTACAGCCTTTAGTTTTACGTCAAAACTCAAGACGAATGCTTAGAATGACCATTCAGATAATAACCTAAGAGTGTGAAGTCAGAGAACACAACCAGATTCAAGTATGAAGCTGCTCTGTCCTCATGGAGATGTACTAGAAGCGTACGTGGACAGAGAGAGGTTACAAATAATGAACCTGAGTGGGCGGTCTAGGCCCTATGTCTAAATGCTTGTGTAATAGCAGGCAGTGGACTGGCCACTAGGATCCAGACCAGGATATGAGTCAGTATGCTGTCTGAGGTCTCCACCATCTTTCTCCATCACTTCCCTACTGTGCCACTGAGGAAAACAAAGACTGTCCAGTTCGACTCTGTTGCCCACATGTCACAATACACCACACACAGTCCTGTTGTTGATATTACTAAGCAACATGACTGACTCACTGTTCGATTTGGCAAGGACTAGATTATATGACACTGGGTAGTTGTTTTGTTAAACTGGCCTATATGTATTTACTCCGTTAAACACAGGCATCATTAAGGTTTCTCAATCATAAAGGAACCATATGAGCCTATTAGGTTAAAACCTGATTACAAGTGGTCAGTGAGTCACAGTTCAACAAAAACTAATTTGGAAAAAGGTGTTTCATTTTGGGAGCGCCAGAGATCGAGGACACATTCACAGCCCTCACAACCTCACCTGACTGACAGAGTTGGGCCATGACACATACTCAAACTCCAAGCTCAGTGATCAAAGTCCAGTCTATGCGAGTGTGCTATTCGTGCGTAGGTGTGTGAATCTAAAATCACAAGACCTAGTTCATGGCTCCATGCCTCGCCTTG